GGAATAAGAAACAACTTTGGGCTAAGAATATAGCTCAGTGGTAGAGTCCTTGCTTAGGATGTTGAGGCTCTAAGTTTAGTTCCCAGCAATACAGACACACAACAGGCAGATAAAAACACTTTTGAGCTGGGGCTATAGCTCCCTTCTCTTCCTATGTCAGCCTCTCAAGTAATTGTGACCAACAACATGTGACACAATACTTGACAGAATTTTGTTTTAGTTGTGATTAATACAAAAATAACTTATAGGCCAATGAGATGGTTCAGCAGGTAAAAGCAGTTACCTTACAAGCCTGATGACCCAAGTTTGAGCCCTGGAACCCAGGTAAAGGTAGAAGAAGAGAACAGACTCCACAAAGTTGCCCTCTGACCACTCCATGATATGTGCCCACATATCTCACACACATGCGTATGCACATACACAAACACAGTAACAAAATCAAAGCCAGGTGCGCCTTTAATCCCAGCACTCTGGAGGCAGAGGCAGGAGTTTCTCTGTGAGATCCAGGCCAACCTGGTCTACATACCAGTTCCAGGCCAGCTGGGGCTACATGGAGACCCTGTCTAAAAACAAACAAAACAAAACAACAACAAAAACAACTAAATCAATAAAGAATTTTGAAAAAAATTAACATGGCTAGAGAGAAGGCCCAGTGATTAAGAGCACTGGTGCTCTTGCAGAGGACCCAGCACCCACATGGCAGCTGAAATCATTTTAACTCCATTTCCAGGGGACTCCAACACTCTCTTTGGACCTCCATAAGCATTGCTGGACACGGATATACTCACATACATGCAGGTAATACACTCATACACATAAAATAAAAACAAATATTTTTAAAAATCAACACAAGCAGAAGGATGGAAAAGAAAATTCCAAGCAAATGGCACCAAGAAACAAGCAGAGGTTGCAATAGGCCGGGCGTGGTGGCACACGCCTTTAATCCCAGCACTCGGGAGGCAGAGGCAGGCAGATCTCTGTGAGTTCGAGGCCAGCCTGGTCTATATAGTGAGTTCCAGGACAGCTGGGGCTACAGGGAGACCCTGTCTCAAAAAAAGACAAAACAAAACAAAACAAAAAACCAAGCAGGGGTTGTAATTCTAATATCTGACAAAATAGACTTCAAAGTAAAACTAATCAGAAGAGATAAGGAGGGTCACTTCATTCTGATCAAAGGAACAGTTAAGCAAGAATATATTACAATTCTTAACATATATGCACCAAAATTTGGTGCACCCAAATTCATAAAAACACTACAGGACATTAAGACACAGATTAACCCCAACTCAGTAATAGTAGGAGACTTCAATACCCTACTCTCTCCACTAGACAGGTCAACTGGACAAAGAATAAACAGAGAGACATCTG